AAGAATGAAAGAATGAAAGAATGAAAGAATGAATGAAGAAAAAAGAAAGCAAACAAGCAAGAAAGCAAGAATGAATCAATGAATCGATGGATGAAAGATTAAGCATACTAACAATAACAGAAAAGGCACCAAAAGAAGAAGGAAAAAATGGAAAAGGGAAATGGAAAAATATGGGCTTTATCTCTCACGAATAATCACTGATTTATTTCCATTCCGCGATGGTTTTCAAGCGTTGCTTGCAGATCGGTTCGAAAAGAGCCTAATAACGAATGAGAGTCGTCCTTTTTATATATCTCTTCTCTCTTCATTCTATCTTCAACGTTTACCGTTAAACAAAAATTGGCCTCCCTATCAAAATAATTTTCAATTTAACTCAACGGAGCGGACATACCAAGCGCTTTGTTCGAAGTTTATTGTTTTCCTCTTATTTTGATTTAGTATCATGTTGTGTTGGTCTGAAATCATTCGCTGTTGAATGTCGCCGATGTAGATTAACAAAGCCAGATACAGTAACTCAACGGTTTCTTTATCGATCTTATCTAAATCGAAAACAAGGATTCTAACCAGTCCTTTATATTAAACTGCAAAAAAATAAGCGACGAAAGTTTAGATCTAACAAAAAGAATTTTATTTTTATGTAGTTTTGCAAGAAAATTTCCAAACTTTTAATAATATAAACTTTTGTTTAACAGTAACAATGAGCTAGAATATTATTGCTCGAACATTAATCAGTCATATTTCCTGTCTAGAAATTCTTGAAATATAATAATTTGTTGGCAAGAATTTGTAAAAGATGCCGTAAGCGCTATTCTTGTTCTCCGTGACTCGAAGAAAACTTCAATGCTTGTCCTAAGTATTTGGAGAGCTCACTCATGATCACAAAGATTGACAATTATGCTTAATGCAGTGTATTAAGACCCGTATAGCTTCGATAAAAATGGAAATAAAGTAAGATGTCATAAATCTTCCTTGAGAATTTAAAAAACCGATCCGTTTTTTCTTTTTTTTCATATAGTTCTACAGATCGATTTGATAAGAACCTCTTTAACAAAACCTATGGATATGTGTTATAGCCTACAAACTGGGTAACAGTTGAAATCTATATGTTTAACCAGAAAAAAATTTTCCTAGCATATGACAATGAAGTAAGTGAACTATCCTTACCTGAACATCAATAGTTGCTTTCGTAAACCCATTAATCGTGCCATCTTCTCATTACGAGAGTTTTCCGGTTACCATATTCATTGCAGACTTGAAAAGTGTCAAACACAATCACCAAAATTGAAATCTTAGGACGTACATTTTTAATGTATTTTTATTAAACAATCCGATAGAATTGACTAGAAAACACATGCCCCAGTACAACATATGTTTAATTTATGGAGCAAAAACGCATGAACTCGAATTCGCTTTCCGAACCTAATTTTTATAAATTTTGCCCCAAGGTATCTCAAAAATTTAATGTTAATAACTGTCTTGAGATAACGGTCTTACTATGCTCTCTCTACCCCCACCTCCTACTCGCTTCCCCAAAAAAGGGGAAAATGGGAGGGAGGGGAGGAAGGAAGGAGAGGAGAAGGAAAAAAACAAAGGGGAGGGAAGAGAAGGGAAGAGAAGGAAATAATTATTTTTTGATATTCGAAGGGCTGTGTAGCAATTTAGCGAAATAGCTTTATAAGTCCATAGAAAACGAAAATCTAAGCAAATATCTAAAATAGAATCTATTTAATAACGTTTTGAATTAGATATCCGTGGAGTTAAGGTTACTGGAGACCTATCTCTTCGCGACAATTTAAACGAAACCTCACAAAACTATATATCATTTTAAATTCATATAACAAAGATTTAGAAAATAATATTATTCGAAATTTAATTTTAAACAATGCCGGAGCCTTTTAAGGCGTGCACACAAAGCGTGCACATTCAGTAGGGTGAATTAATGGATATACAATTTTTAATGGCGGTTATTGTTTTACCGCATAAATACGAAATACTCAAAATGTCAAAAATTGCTCACACCCTTTTGTCCATTATCTTTTGCTTATTCACATGCATAGTGAGGTTCCTTTGGCTATACCATGGGCTGTAGGAGAATCATCAGAAATCTGTTAACATTTTGTCAGCTACGATTTCAAGCTCACGCCTCCTCATGTGAGCCCATACAAATTATGTCTCAAAAACACGGTTTTTGGATCTTTTCTCAAAATAATGACTATCTAGGCAAAAAAACAGAAGTGGATTCAGTTAATCCAACTATTCACGGACTGTATTATATGGTTTAGATTAAATTATATTGAAAAATAAACCACCGTCCTTTTTGAGTTGAATGTACGCTATTGGACGTATTTTACAAGAGAAAATGCATGACATAAGCGGGGTCAAGCTAGAAAATCGTCTCTCCTTGACATAAAACAGAACCTGTCAAAAAAAAAAAAAAAAAAAAAAAAACCCCGGGCTTTCCTGAACATTTTGGTATATAATTCATAGGAATTTGTTAAAATTAAGAACCGTATTTTTGCTGATTTTATAAGCTCATRCTATCTGTTGGCCTATACATTCGCCTCTTATGGTTTCTTAGGTTTTGTAGCCTCGAAAACACGCTAACTACTAGTTAGCGAAAGAACAGAAGATTTATGGGTCATCTAGGATGTTTTGTCATGCAGTTTAATTGTGCTATATAACTTTACTTTTAAGAACAACCTTTTGCTTTGGAAAGAGAGGAAAAAGACCGAAAAGAGCAAATATTCCAAATGTATGGGTAATTTTTTCCAATGTTTGGTTTGTGACGGGGAAAATGATTGTTAGTAGACCAAATAAATCACTAATTACTCACTTGGATCTTTCTTTCCATATTTTATTGATTGTTAGATGTATAAACTTGAATTCAATAGTCTTTTTACCTCCTTTTCCTTCGATAAAACTCGCCATCTTTGTTATTGCTGAGCCTGCAATATTTCATTAGGAAAGACCGCAGATACGTCATTGACACAGGGAGCCCATTTTCTGTTGTATTCTGCTTTACTAAACTTTAAAGAGGGTAAGCCCAAAGTACAATTTCATCGTGCTAACCTTGATGCCAGATGATGAAGCGACATCTCCATATAACGAAACTACCCTGTCCCCTTCATCTATATAAGGAAACTACCCTGTCCCCTTCATCTAAATAAGGAAAGCATTGTTCTTTTGTTTTCAAAATTATTCGAAAGGCTCCTTTGTGTTCTCCTGAACATACTGAATCAAATTGAAAGCATTGTTTGCTTGTTCTACGGATTTATTTCGAGGGATTTTTCTTATTAATTAACCGTAAATGTACTAATCTCACTAGTATGAAGAACATGAATGAATTGAATCTCCCTTCATGAGCAATTTCTTTAAGATAAAATGCAGCCGTTGAGTCGCCCCACGTAAGGCAATCCGGAATCCGGAATCCACGAAATTATAATGGAATCCGGAATCCACCCTTTTGAAATCCGGAATCCGCTACTTTGAAATTCAAAGTCTACACTCAAATGCTATCGCCTCGACCTAGACTGAACCGATGTAGCCCCTCCCGCACTGTGTAATATCTCCACCAAGAATATCTGTCATCAGATGCAAATTAACGATATGGAATCCAGAATCCGCAATACAAACGTTTTGGAATCCGGAATCCAGACCCTTGGAATCCGGAATCCAGAGTCTCTGAATCCGGAATCCAGCGCTTGGAATCCGGAATCCACCATAAGTCTGGATTCCCTTACGTGGGGCGAGTTGAGCGTCTAGGTTTTAGTATTTATAAACTCGTATCGCCGTTCAAACAATATTTTGACTTAAAATGGTTAGAGTTTATACTATGAAACCTCTTATTTTGGATGCTTCTTACAGCCATGAAGAGTTCATTAGGGTCCAATGCTTTACTTGTACTAAGTAAAATGCATATAGCAGTATTTGTATTTCCGATTTAAAGCCGATTTAAAGCTGAGCTGAGCCGTCTATATTCTTTAAACATTTAACAAATAATGTAAATTATCAGTTAGACGACATAAAAGCGCGCGCCCATGGCGATATAGACGCACGAGAGAAAATATAAAGAACGATTAACAAGCGAAAGAGTGGCACAAGGCAAAGACGAGTGACCGTCTCTAGCTTGTTAAGAGTTCTTTATATTTTCTCAAGTGCGTCTTTATCGCCATGGGCGCGCGCTTTTATGTCGTCTAACTGATTTATAATATGACCAAAAATCTACCGTGCCACCTATGGGTAAATAGTTCATAGGCATTTCAGCCAATCAGAGCGCGCGTTATATATCATAGACATGCATTTAGGCTCTACACTCGAAGAGACAGAACAAGACACGGCAGTTTTTTAAAAAAACTAGAAGAGTTTATTTTATTTTCAAAAAGGAAAATATAATCCATGTACAAGGAAAAAGTACATCTGATCAAGTGGGTTTTTACTCTGCCTCGAATTAGAAACGTTCTAAAATATGAATAATATGAGTGAACTTCAAAGAACACGTGTTTACAACTGGGTTTTGTTAGCATGGCCAATGAAAATTTGCAAGTTCTGAATGGTGAATGAGTTAAAAAAGCCATGTTGACCAAGAGAAGACAAAGACTGAACACCCACTAGACTGATTCTAGGTGAACTTGTTATCAGTGTACTTTGGACTGCTTCTTCTTTCGGYTTTTCCATAGCTTTTGAAAGGACAGCACTGCAGTTGTAAAGCTGAGAAGTCGAAGGACGTGAGTTGTAATGGACCAAACTCTGTTCGCTACGATGGCCAGATATGGCCATAATGTGGCGATTTGGTACTCCATTGTTAGACCACACTGTTATTGATGTAGCCCTAACTGAGTGGTTGGTGTAGGTTTTAGAGAGGCCTGCCGCTTTGCTGATATCTTTTATCATATTTCCAAGTTTGTTTTGGCCGATGGGTCGAGCTTCAAACCAGATATCGTCATTTGCAGACCAGTTTCGGCGAGGATATTGAAAAAACGAGCAGCAGTTGGGGWTAACTTTGGACAAGTAGAACTTCAGGGCTTTAAAACCGTCGTGTTGATGGTCTGTTTCGTACATTCTCGCATCGTTTTCAAAACTTTCATGGTCTTTGACACCTCCAGGATGATTCTTGGATACTTCGTCATGAGACAAAGTGAAAAAGTTGCGTCCACTGGGATCTTTCTCAGACTTAAAACTCGTTACTGATAGTTCTCTCTGTCCCTCACGTCCTCTTCTACAAAAGTAAAGGACTACGTGAAACCATACATTCTACAGGAGTGACAAAGGAGTAGCTAAGCTGATCACTGGACTTGCCTTGAGTTTCACCAAATCTTCCTCTTCGATAGGTGGCTTGTGAGTGGTGCTTTGTTTCTTTTTCTTTTTTAGACAGACAATCTGTGCATCAAGAATTTGGTTAGATTTTTGAAAACGTGGATCTTAGGAGATTTTCAGGCCTCTGTTTAGTGGTGGCTGATTGAGATAACGTTCAAGCCCATGCCTGAAATCTAACAGCGTTGATTTGCTGTAGTCTTCGCCTGTTTTGGTTCTCGCTTCGGCGTAAAACCTTTGCAAATTCAAGTCAAGATGGCCGATGGTCATTTTTTCGAGGGGCGTTTGGATTTTCTTTTCTCTGCACCCTGCTAAAAGGTAAAAAAAATAGCAAACATGAATGAATTCGCTAACATATAAGCTTAACTCTTATATAAACTTTTATATAAACATTATAAGAAACTAAGCCAATTTAAGTTAACAATTTGTAGTTTTGAAAAAAAAAACTAGAAAATATCCTATTGACATTTGTAAGAGCTAACACTTTGTAGGCTTTGTTTTCAATGAGAATAAAATATTAAATAAAATGAACCCACAAAACAATTTTACTTACTCTTAAACGTAGAAATCGCCCAGTTTGTTGCCTTTTTTGTTTTTGCTGACAATCGATTCTCAATCAAGGAGTTGAGATCTTTCTCCGATAATTCAGCGAAGCGTCCCTTCTTCTGGTCTGTCTGGACTTGCTGAGGGTTCTCATATGGTACTTTTTCTAATTTTAAAGTGAAGTCTTGCATTTCATAATCAAAAATGTCTTGCAAACCTGGAAATATTTCGTCCATTTTTGTAAGAAAAAATTACAAGAGAAAGGTAATGACGTGAGCGTGCTTTTTAGCCAATCAGAGCGCGCGTTAGATTTCAGTTATATTATAAATAATATTGGGATCGAGAACGTTTTAATTGACGACAACGACAAGAACAGTTGACTGTTGTTTTCAAAGGAGTTTGCAAAACGAATTTTGGACTCGTAAAACTGAAACGAGGCCGTATGATGACGAAACAACTGGCATCAAGCTCAAAGCAATTCAAAGTGATCACGTGGTACATAATCCATACATCTCATTGTTTGAATGGGTGGCAACGCCTACTTTGGCCCTACCCTCTTAATTTTTAGTAAAAAGAAAATACAATAGAAACTGGGCTCCCTTTTCTTATGACTTATTTGCGTTTTTTCATTAAAAAATATAGCGGGCTCCGACAAAGATGGCGGTTAGAATCRAAGAAAACTATTAAAGGAGGTCAAACGACCATTTAATTCATGTTTAAACATCGAAGACTAACGTAACAATCAATAAAACACGGATAAAACAGATCCAAGTGAAATATTTGTGATTTATTCGGTCTACTAACAAGCATTTTCCCCGTCACAAACCAAATATTCTCCCACAGCCCATGGCTATACGCGCTAACGCCATCTCCATAAATTCAGCTCTACGTGCCCGATTCGTGTTTAAGGCTCGGCATTGTTGCAAGCTAGAAAACTTTGAAATAATATTATATTCGAAATTTTTATCATATGACCTTTAAAACGATATAGGGGGTTATATATTAGGGGGTTTTATTGAACGCGTTGCGTAGAGAGGGAGTTTACGAGAAACATGCGCCTGAAGGTCTCCAGTAACTCTAAAGTGTATATCAAGGGGAAAAAAATCAAAATCGATTGTATGTGGATGGTGTAATAGTAGGTAGGTTGCAGTATTTTTGTATGTAAAATTTTATTTTCAGAGATATAAACATGATATATCAATATGCAAATGAGATGACGTAAATTCAAGAAAAAATTGTTATACAAAAATGATGTTGTGGAAAGTACTGTTGTCTTGGGCGCTAAACAAAAAAACAAAACGATTACAAATACAAGTAACAAAAAATACGAGGAAAAAGGAAAAAGTTGTTTACCGTACGGATTGGGAAAAACTTCGCTAACTAGTAGTAAGCGTTATTAGTAGTAAAGATTATTTCACCAATGTTTCAGCTCAAATGAGAGACTTCTAATTTTGGAGCGATTTTCGTCCAAGTTTCCCTGCTAGCAGAGCCTATTTTCCTTTTGTTTTGGTGGAGAGAAAGAAGGGAGAGAAAGAGAAGAGAGACTCTGCTAGTAGGGAACGTCCAAGTAGCAATTTAAACACTTGTGGCAACATAGTGACATTGACTTACAGTTGGCACATGCTAAATTGATCGGACTGTAGACCGGAATCCTTTAACAGAAGCCAGCAAAGGTCGTTTGGGTAAGGTCCCGAACACTCCTGGGTACTATTGCAACATATCCATTTTGTAGGGGAGAAATCAGACCGAAAAAGCAAACAAAGCTATTCTATGACAAGTTTTTCACAGGTAACCCGGTAATGTAGTTTTCAGCATGCTACAAGGTTTTGAGGTGTGAATGACAGACCAATCGGTTCATGTCTTAGTCGAAATAAAAGATTTCTGAAACAATTCGTGTATTTCCCTTTATACTTTATTCTTGCAATTGTCCCCTAATAAGGTTAAGTTTTCGAGTTGAAACTTACACACAACAGTTATTAAGGTCATAGACGTGGCGTAAACTATCAAAACTTAACCTGAAATATTAAACAGAACACTGTCTAGAGCATCCTTTAGCAAGTAACAAAGGAGATATTTTGATTTTTTTCCTCAAATGCTAAAGTTCGGCATTCTAATCAACCATATGGAAATTATTTTCAACAGAGACTACGGAAAATATAGTCAGCGGTCTTTATGCGTGAAGTAGTCTAAGCCATAAAAACGTTCTGAACATGTAATAGATACGTCCAATATCAAAGCGGATTTTTGCATTTAGTATTTGAGATGTTAGCGCAAGCGCTGCTATTTGGATAAATGAGAAAGAAACGGCTAAAATTACCTGAGCCTTCGACGGGTAGCAACGAAATCGAGGAGCTCTGGGTAGGAAAATGGGATCTATTATAGATATTGGCTTGAGATCGGGATTGGCGTTATGGGTTGTGTATAGCAAGAAAAGAGATTCCTTTGAAAAACGGTTCAATGGCTTCTCCATTAATTGCTTTGAAAATATAATCAAATAACAGAATTGGTATAATGTCGCGGAAACTTTGGCATAACATGTTTTTTGAAATACACCAGGTAATCTAAGGAAATGAAAACGGTTTGCATGTGTGTGTATCGTGCATTGAAGACAATAATATAGGTTCTCAGAAAACGAGTAAAACAACAACAACTTGAGTGAACTGTAAAACGATTATCTTTATTGCTCAACAGGCTTCGTGCTAAAGGCGCGACAGTCGTGACGTCATACACGGCCTGTCAATATACTTAACAGCGTGCGTGTGCCGTTTGTTTAGGAAAAAAAGTATCAATCCCATGCGTTTATGCGCTCTTAATCCTTAAAAGGCATGGTATCTATCCCTAAATTGTAGTGTAATAAGCAACTTTATTTCGTTCAAAAATGAAAATTCATGTTTTCTTTCTTTTCCATAAATGAACACTCAGATTTACGGAGCCCGTTAAGGGACACTCRTAAACGTGCAACTTTTTTTTGAAAAATCCCGAGTTACGGAAATCCCGACTTACAAAAATCCTAACTTACGAATATGCACGTGCCCGTCGTTATCAACATGGCGGACATGGAAGACAACACCGTCCGACCGTCGACAACTAGGTAAGTTTTAATTTTACTTTTCTCTTCTTCTTCAGTGAGAAAAAGCACAATTCTTCAAGGTCCGCCATGTTGATAACGACGAGCACGTGCATATTCGTAAGTCGGGAGTTTTGTAACTCGGGATTTTCGTAAGTCGAGATTTTCGTAACAGTCGAGATTTTGTAAGTCGGGACTTTCGCAAGTCGGGATTTTCCAAAAAAGTTGCGCGTTTATGAGTATCCCTTAACGGACTCCGTACAGATTTCAATMATTGAAGTAGTATATAAATGGGAATTCTGCGCTCCCCGGCATCGGTGCCGCACCGGTGGTCCATATTTACGTCAAAATCCTTGATTGCATAGTGGTTGCTATTCTCGCCGGTCAGTCGGGAGACCGGGGTTCAATTTTACGTCAAGGAGTTTACTATTTTGGATGATTTAGAAAACTTTGAGTATAACTTAAATACCGTCAAATATTTCTCACAAGTAAGAGATTGAAATAAATTAGATATAATCAAATTTCTTGATGCATGAAGTTTACTCGTTATTTGCAACTGGCAATCATGCAGATCAAAAGATCAAACGAAAACTAGAAAAACCGCACTAACCATCAATCTGAAGACGTAGAGTAAATTAAGAATAACAAATCGAACTGTCACGCAAATTAAACATAAT